GTCAGTCCACTTGGTGCAACAGCTCTCCAAGGTGTGATCACTCCGTTTTAGATGCAGAATAACGAGCAGATCTAATTTGATGCAGGTGTGAAAATTTACAAGGTGATTCCATGATTATTTTTTCCCTCTGCTTGGCCAAAAAATTAACTGTTACTGACTGCCACAATTGTTTTTCTTTATTTCTTTTAGTGATTCTTAAAGCCAGAAAGTTGCCATTTGAAAAGACTTTAGTTTTTTTCATGTCTGGGATCTGCTTTTTTTTCTACAAAATTAAGATGAACATCCTCTGAGGCCACCGATTCCATCATTTTTGCCAGGGATTGTAACAGAGTGCAGTGTGAGTGGGTAAATGAGGGCACAGATTGTAGTGTGAAGCGCTTTGAGTGTCCTGGATGGATAGAAAGGCACTATACAAGTACAGTCCATTTACCATTTATACTGTATGAAGAAAAAAATTACAACTGGTCTTCTATTCAGAAACTGTAGACACAGGGAAGCTTTGTCAGTTCAACATGTTTGGAGTAGTGTGGTGTTCTAAACTTTATAGACTTTTATGAAAAATTATGAAGCTTAGAACTCGGAACAGAAGTCCAGTTGTTTGTTTTTTAACTTATTTTTATCACGAGGATGACTGAGAATCTTCAGCATTATAAATATAAAATTTGGCAGCACAGTGGCTCAGTTGGTAGGGCTGCTGTTTCTCAGCAAAATGGTTGCTGGATCAAATCCCAACCTGGGACCTTTCTGAGTAGTTTTTACATGTTCTCCTTCTGTCTACAACATTTTCCTCCAGTTCTCCAGTTTCCTCTCAGACCAATGACATGTCTTTAGCTTCACAGGTACACACTACAGGTCTCAAACAAATGCTTGTTTTGTAATGTTATTATTTTGAACAAAATCATGTTCAAGTCTGAGTATTTTACACCCGGCAACTGAAAGTGGGCCAGTCTGTCAGGAACTCCCGGGCCACTTTTTCTCCCCACCCAGTCTGCCCCCTGCCTCCCGGTGGAGCTTGATGCTGTTTTCCTGAATTTATTCCTGAATTTATGCAACACGAGTTTGTGCGAGCATCAGTGTCAAGTGGACAGAGTCACACAACCTGTGTTTTAAAAACAGCCTGAGTGAAAGTCCCCATTAAGAGTTTTCACAAGTCACAAAAAACAAGTTTTAGTAGAMCAGAGAAACAACGTTAGGACCAGCAGGTGACAGTTCATGGCTCTCTCTGTCACTCCTTGATAGGTTCCCAATAAAGTAAGCAGAAATATTAAATACAAATTAAGCCTCAAACAGTCACTATATCCAAAGTGGGGTGTTTTCTCCACTGGTTTCAGCTCTCAGTGCTTTACAGAAGAATTACAAATTGCTTCTACRTTAATTCAAGTCAGAGCACACTGTCATGGTTTGAGGTGACTGGGTTTTCCCAAAACTGTGAAATGTGCTGCAAAATCACAAATTAAGATAAGCAATAAGCAGTGATGACATTTGACTTTCACTAAAAAACACATCCAGAAATGAGACAGATGGTTCTCTTATAAAACAAAACAATTGAAATCATCGTAAAATTGAAGGAAGTTCGTCAGCGTTTGAGAAGTTTTGGTGGTGACAGAGCATAACATGTAGGCAGCAGAGACTGGTTTTTATCTTCTGGAGATGTGTGTGTGAAAACTCCAGAGCACACAGAGGCTGTTGTGACATCAGGACCACACTGTTCCACGTTGGTCTCAGTAGAACACGGTGGACCCTCAGGGACCTCGGTGATGAAAGGTTGCGTACMTCGTGTTTCACACGCTGATGTACGTGATGTAYGAAATTTAACGTTGCATGAAAGTGTGGGCCATTCTTTTGGCACTTGGCACTGAACTGGCCCTAGCATTAGCTCTGTGCCAGTTCACCATTTTTAAAAGTACATTTTGACAGATAGTTTTTCACAGTGTTTCAATGTTTTCATTTGTACAGGGACTAATTGGTAGTTTCTAATGCTAATGATAGTAGTGGGCATCACACACATAAAGCTCAAACCTTGGGGAAATGTTTAGTTTGTTAGTTTGTTGTGCTAGCGCCAAGCTAATACATATGTATATAGCGTCGGTGTTAAATCTAAAGCTAACAGGCTAAGCTGACTGTCTCCAGATTTCTTTTTGACAGGATGGATTTTAACTTGGACAGTCTCCTCAGCTGAAAAAAGCAGGATTTAACAATGGAGTTTACATGACTGTTTAATTTCAAGTATGGATCCATTTTTACACCTAGGTTTAAAACAAAACAAAACACAACAAAATTTAACTAATACATAAGTATGGTTTAGGTGGGGTTTACATCCTGTTTTGCCATTACAAAAGAGTGAAGTTACATAGATTATTAAAAGATGTAATTTGAAAACAGCATACAAAGTGGAAATTATGGAAAGTATTTTTTTGGCTGACATAGGATGGTCTGGATTGTGGGGGTGATACTGTGCAGCGCCCTCTGTTCCTTTGGTGGCCTGCTCAGAGACAGTGTCAGCTTTTTATTGGTAATATTATCATTACGTTATTATTATTACTATTATTATTATGCTTATCATTAATTAA